TAATCATAATATGCAGAGTCAGAATATCAGGAACAATAGTGACAATAATCATGATAAGAAAGAAGATATAACCAGTAAAAAAAATTACTCTCTTAACGACCTCCCCAAACCACCGGGACCATGTACAAGGCGAGGGGCATATACAGCTTCTCCGTCACGTAATCGTCGCACCAGCTGTTCTCGAGGGACAGGTAGAACGTGTAGTTTCGCCCGATGATGTTCGGCCAGCAATCCCGGCCACACCTCTGCCCGCAGCTGCCATACCTTCGGGAAAAGGGAGAGGAGTGTGTACTTTCTTGGGCCCAGATTCTCCAACGCGTTAAGGGGGCCCGTATCTCCTTGAGGCGCCTTAACTTACGAGCGATCTTACGGTCCGTACACAGAGCCAGGGACCCGCCATATTGGTGCGAGTGAAGGCGCCGTAGGTGAAGGCAAAAGGGAGAGCAGCCTTTAGCGCTTTCCGGCGGGAGGGAAACCAACACTCTTCGCTCTTGCAGAAGGGAAATACAGCAGGACGGTTAAGGCCTCCAGAGCGGCTTAACTGGAGGCTCTTTTGAGAATCCGGTCCCTGAGATATTCTTTGGGTGAAGGGGCTCTCAGGGATGTATCTGAAGCCTCCTGTGTACTTTAATACCCACCCTGTCAAGGACTCGAACCGTGTCACTCTTGGGAATACCGAACAAAGCAAATCAAAGCGCACAGTTCAAAAAAAAAAAAAAAAAAGTTTAAGATTAAGAAGAGAGTGAATCGGGAATCACCAATCGATTCACACGTAAGGAATAGCGAGGTTTTAAGGGCAATTCCCGTGACCAGCTGGGGCGACGTGGTTCAGACACTCATGCATAATGCCACATTACTTTTTCTCCCTAAATACAAGTAATAATATTACCAGTGATAGCATATATATTTCAGTGTAAATATTTAATAACAACACTGGCAGTGATGACAACTAATCATGATGCTAATAATAGTGAGCATGATATAATTAATGATAATGATGATAATAATGATAATAACAAAGATAATGATAATAATAATAACGATAATAATAATGATAATGATAATAATAATGATAGTAATGATAATAATAATGATGATAATAATAATAATAATATTGATGATGATAATACTAATAGCAATCATAAAAAAAACATAACAGTAACTAATAATAATAATAATAATAATAGCAATAATAATGATGATCTTCACTGCCGATAAATAACAATATGTTAATAATAATGGCAAAGTCACTCTAGATAAGGCAGCGATCATGATTCCAATAAGAACGATAAGGTAATGTCAGTCATGATAACAGTATCAGTGACAGTGGTAACAATGACGATGAAACTGACACCATCACCATCACCATCAGAAACAATATCAAATGTAAATAATGAATGAGATAAGAATAACAATGATAGAGATGAGAAAGATAGTATAATGAATATGATCACCAAAATGACTAAATAACAATGATAGAGATGAGAAAGATAGTATAATGAATATGATCACCAAAATGACTAAATAACAATGATAGAGATGAGAAAGATAGTATAATGAATATGATCACAAAAATGACTAAAATAACAAGATTAACAATAGTTATAATGAGAGTGATGTTCATGATTATGATGATAATATTAATAATAATGATAATAATAATAGTGATAATAATAATAGTAATAATGATGACAATAATAGTAATAATGTTGATAATAATAATAATAATAGTAATAATAATAATAATGACAGAAATAATTACAATGACGATAATAATAACAATACAGATAATAATAATAACAACAAACAATAATGAGGATAAGAAAAATAATAATGAGAATATAAATAATAATGACAACCATGACAAACCATTATCATCAATATAGTTATTGTTATTACCAACATTATCATAAATATTATGATTTACATTATCATTATTACTATTATAATCATTACCAATACTATTATTATAATCGTTATCTTTATATCATTGCTATTATTGTTGTTGTTATTATCATCAAGTTTATCTGATTTCTTTAATATTCCCAATCATCTTGTAATTGCTACAACAATTCCGTGATCTGTGTTGTGAGTATACAGTCCTTGAACATTTTAATTACTGATAAAATTAATGCACGTTATAATGGCTATAAATTTGTTGCAAGAGCGGGAACACTGCCTTCAAAATCTTGCCTGTGGTTGAGTGTAGACTGTGGTAGTCGCCAAAGCACAAGGAAATGCGAGTATTATCTCAGGTCTTGGTGCTAAGATTGCAATAATACAATATGTACATATTTAGCATACATATCTGCTGCGGAAGACGATCTTAAACTATCTTAAACGAAATGAACAACTTACGTGCGTTTAAACCTCTGCTATAAATAGGATCAAGAACAGACAACAACAACAAAGTGTAAAGAAGAGGTGGGGGAGAGTGGGGATAGGAGAAGGATAAGGAGGATGGAAAAGAATTTCAGGAGAAGAAGAAGAAGGAGCCGGG